GTGGGATGGACGATCAAGAGATCGATTGGGTGTTGGATGCCGATTCTTCCTGTCCTTGGATGCTGATCCTGAATAGAAGATAAGCGAAGCTCGTGAGGTCTATGGAACCGGTGTGGAACCAGCCTAAGACCCTCCGATGCTCGAGTAAGATTGTTTTTAAGAGCTCTTGCTGTTGACTATATAGTAGTATAAAAGTCAAGCTGAAAAGTCTTACCCCTGTATTGTAGTGGGAGGGGCATACTTATAGAGGGCATTTAGTATGCTTGTGGTGTTCATTTCCGATGTGGGACTCGTGGGAGGGCCCTGTGAGGTTGACACGAGTCCTTAGATATTTCAGGCAGGTGCTTCGAGGTTGATTCTGCAGAATCGGTAGGGGATACCGATTGTAGGCTGTGTTGGGCCCTGTAATGATCTTTTGCTGCTTTGAGACAATATCATCAGTAGCCTATGCCGATTGTCCGAGGCCTTGGGTGCTTGGGCGAGTTTATGAGATCCACGTGTCGTTGTACGAGTGGAGGGTCAGATATGGTACAAACATGAGTGATGAGACGATCATTCATATCGACATACAATTATACGTTATTAAATAATGATTCATGAAAGAGAATTGTGTGATAGAGTAATACAATTATACTTTTAATTTTGGCCATGAAGATGTGGACATCCAATCCAAACTAGAGACATTAAATTTGTTTTTGCTTGATTTCATGGTCATAATCAAGCACATCAAGTGGACGATAGGTGTAAGGGCTTTCCTATTTTCTGAAAAAATATGCAAAATAAAAGTAAAATGAAAACAAGACAAAAGATTCACTTGAATAGAGATGGGCTTCTTACTTTCCAAAGACTAAAAAAACAAAGGGCTTCTTGAACAAGATTTTTTTAAAAAAAAGTCCACGTCAAAAACAAGTTCACGGAACAAATTTTACATCATTCGTGGCAAAAGATTCGATTTTAAACTTGAGTGTAAAGGAGTGAGTAGTCCGTTTCATCTAGCTTAACCCAATATCTTCGAGGCCCAAAATGGTTTGACTAGAACTTCATATACCGACTTGTAAAAATGTTTGCTAAACTCCAAAGGAGATCATTTGCATTTTAGCCAAGATTAGCTTCATAAAAGAAGACTTATTTTGAATGTTGATTGCATGATTGAAGCAGCTTCTACGCCACTCTCAAAAGTTGACAAGGTCAAACACTACCATGGGAATCATAAGAGAGCTTCACAAATTATTATCAAGCAACTGCTTGAACTCCTGTAAAAAATGTCACAATTGTAACAAAATCCGACGGTCTACAATCATGTGATCAAAATATTCCTCTCAACCTTAGAGTACTTATAGGTGTGAGCAAACACATCCAAGGCCCCCACTTTTAAAAATCCGTTATGTCTACTTCCATGTTGGTTCCCTCCAAGTCTTCAACTGTCAAGCCATATATTTAGAAATGGAAGAGAATTGCAAGCTTACCGCATAATTCATTTGACTTCTGATGAGATTATTCAAGCAAAAGTTTTAATTGAAAAGCAAACACATTCAATTGTATTGACCATCAGTTTCAAATTTTTGATGAAAAACTTTGCTTCAAATGCCTCTCTTCTTCTACCTCTATCTTGGGTTGTGCTTAAGCTTCACCAGTTTTGGCTCCTGCGTTGCCAGCAGCCATGAAATCCCACATAGAAAATTGAGCAATGCTCCATGTCCATTGGACATTGATGCTTTCCGTAAAATAATCCGTGAAGGCAATCAACCCCTCGTGCTTCTTGATGTCCAGACAGAGTGCCAGTTCATGCTTGAAGGAATCCGGTTGCTTCGATCAGAATATCTCCGAACCACTGGCTACTTTTCCCCGCCTTCCAATGCCTCCGAGGCATGTTGGCATGCCTATGAAAGTTTGAGCAATGAGTCGTTACCTGGGTTCGGGGTTCAATCCACTTGTGGATTTAAGGCCAGTTTGATGACAGAGAGTTGCATGAATATCACAACCCGGTCACAGTTTGAAAGCCTGATTTCTCAATCTGAGCTGCAGGGAATTCAGGACTCTTGCAATCAGTCTTTGGAGAATAATTCAAATTGTGATTCATGTAAGCAGAGGTTGTGGCGTGTGAGTGCTTCTAACTTTGGTAGGCCTGTGGATGGGAATGAATCAGATTGCAATAGCTATCCATTTATGTATGCTGCAGCTTTTGCTAACAGGTATGGGCCTACAAACTTGGGCACAGTCAAGTGTTTGTTTTCACTAGATTTCAATGCCTTTAATGTAAATACTAAAAGGATCAGGCATACCAAGGTAATGCGTTGGGCAGTGTTGGTAGGATGTGTTAGTGGGTTCTTTGTGGCAGTTTTGGTGGTTTGGGTTCTTTGGAGAAGGCACAAGAAGTACAGGGGAAGGAAGAGAAACATGGAGTCAACCGAGATGGGTTTTGCTTCAGCCATGGAGATTATTGGTGAAAATACCAGTTTGGTTAAGTTCCCATTTGAGGAAATCAAAAGGGCTACCAAGAATTTCTCAAGGGAGAACATAATTGGGATGGGAGGCTATGGGAATGTCTATAAGGGAATATTAGCTGATGGGTCTGAAGTAGCTTTGAAAAGGTTCAAGAACTTCTCTGCTGGTGGGGCTGAAGCTTTTGCACATGAGGTGGAGGTTATTGCAAGCATTAGGCATGTGAATCTTGTTGCTGTGAGAGGCTATTGTACTGTGGCAGTGCCTTTGCAAGGCCACCAGAGGATAATTGTGTGTGAATTGGTGCACAATGGAAGCCTCTATGATCATCTTTTTGATTCAAGGTTGAAGAAACTCAGTTGGCCAATTCGACAAAAGATTGCTTGTGGAATTGCCCGCGGATTGGCTTATTTGCATTACGGTGTAGAGCCTGTCATCATCCACAGAGATGTTAAAGCTAGTAACATACTTCTAGATCAAACATTTGAGCCAAAACTGGCTGATTTTGGCTTTGCAAAGTTCACACCAGAAGGATTTACACATTTGAGCACAAGGGTAGCTGGGACACTAGGATATGTTGCACCTGAATATGCCATGTATGGGCAATTATCAGAAAGAAGTGATGTCTACAGTTTTGGGGTAGTGCTTCTTGAGCTTCTGGGTGGGAAAAAAGCAGTTGTAGAAGCTGATGGCGCCGGAACTTTGCTGTTGGCAGATTGGGCTTGGTCACAAGTGAGGGAAGGCAACCCATTAGATGTTGTAGATGAAAGCATGCCTGAGCTGGGCTTTGCAGAAGTTATGGAAAGGCATGTTTTAGTTGCAGCTCTTTGCTCTCATCCAGTAGCATATGCAAGGCCAACAATGGACCAAGTTGTGAAGATGTTGGAATCAGATTTTCCACTTCCCTCAATCCCAGATTGCCCTCTTGTTGATGAAATGGTTAAAATAGATCAGCTAGCTAGCTTTAGTGGCTCAAGTTACATTTCAAGCCCTGAGGGCCAGCAACCATGTAGCTGTGAGAGTGACCATCCCATTCTAAGTGATTAGGAGAAAGTGGAAACTTCACAAAAACACATGTAAAGATAGTGTTCCAATTCTTTTGAATCATTATAGAGAAAGACATTTTTTACTGAAGGTGTAAAAATTCTTTGATTCATAGAGCCATTCAGCTCAAAGTTTGGTAATTAACAATTGCTGAACCTGACACTGGTTTGCTCTTGCTACATAATCTTTTCTGATTATGTGTTACTGTTATTGAAATTGTTCTGTCATCGTCACTCAAACTGAGAAGTTCTTGTGCTGAAAGTTACTCATAGAACTTCTGACTTGGAGCATGGACAAACTGGTCATATGCATACTGGTGTATTTTATAAGTAAAGAAAGTACACTGGTGGTGTAACACATATGTGTTGACTTGATCGTTTCAAATGGAAACTTAACTGAACTTAGACTGTAATTATACTATTAATACTAAAAATGATACTTTCAATGCTGACCTAGTATTTAATAATTTCATCTTGCTTCTCGTTTAGATTCTTCGTTGCCGGTCGATTTAAGCTCCATAATCTTCCCTTTTTTTTTCAACAGACGGAAGAGTTTTCAAAGAAGCAGATCATATTTTTGTCAGCTTGATTGCATACTACTTATTCCATTGGATAGGACAATTGGAAGATGTTAATTAGAATAGGACATGACTACATTCTAATATAATAATTTAAGGCCTACTTAAGGAATATAGTATTGATGCATCATGTGGTGATCTACCAAAAAAACTAAGACAAACATGCCAGGTCTCTTTTGGCAACTCTTCTTTTGTTTTTCCTATTAGACTAATTCTTTGGCTTTCATGATTATAAGTTCTAACGTCTAAAATATTCATTTTGATAAAAAAAAAAAATATATTCATTTTTTATCACAAGGCAACTTTACATAGGAAATGCGCTTATAGGTGTACGACACATACCCAAGACCAGTCAAACAAAGTAGAGCAAATTTTAATATATGCTCAGATATTCTTCTCCAATATGAAGGTATTTATAAGGAAGTATAACCCTAAATAAAATGAGAAATAAATCTAAATTACAATAGGAAATAAATCTCAATTATAATATAGATTATTATAAATAAACCCAATCCTAGACATGTATTTATAAAAAAACCCACGCACTATATAAACATAGAAACACACCCAAAATCAACAATTGTATATTTTTTGGGTGTGTTTATAAATGAGTTTTGAGTGTGTGTAATGATGAGTTTTGGGTGTGTTTATAAAGTGTTTTGGGTGTTGGGTTTTCTTATAATTTCAGCCCCCATTTTGGGTGTTTTAGTGAAACTCCCATTATAATAGGACTAGACAAATAGGTAAGTAACCAAAAATTCTAACATAGTAAGGAACCGAAATCCTAAGTAAGTAAGGACTCGCTAAAACTCCTCCTCAAATTTGCGCAAAGATGTTTTGCATGCCCAACTTAACAAGCAAGTCATAGAACACTATACTCGACATTAACCAAATCGAACAACTGTAAAGAGGGTCTTGTCGTAAACCATGAGTTAAACAATTGACAAACCAAATCAAAGTTCGCAGCTGAAATACAAGAGCAAACCCTAACAAATAGGGCACATAGCAGAACACATAAACCCTATGAGCACGACAGTAGGTAAGGCAGAACATAGAAACCATATGAGCACGATAGAATACAGAAACCCTTCCATTGAATTTGAATCCCACTAGTAGGTTGGTGGACGATTCAGTATGAACCGTCACAATAGGGGTATGAGAAGCAGTAGATGAAGTAGAACCAGAAGTAGGTGAAGAAATAAAGGCATCAACATTCGGCATGGTGATGGATGGTGGGATGGCGGCGGCGACGGTAGTAGCAAGGTAGGAGGCGGCGACAGTGGCAAGGTAAGAGGCGGCTACAACGGCAAGGTAGGCTGCGATGGTGGGCTAGGATTATAGGCTAGGTGTATAGTGCAGCGGAAATAGGTAGTTTTCAGGATTAAGGTTTTTTATGTTGTAGAGATGGATTGAAACGCAACAACAACATCAACAATGACAAAGGAGAATTCCTCTTAATTCAGCGGAAACTTCTCTTCATTCCCCCTCTCCCTCTGAAAAGAATGGGTTGTCGGAGCTAAGATATTGGCAATATCTTCATACATCAAGGTAATGGGGATACGTCAATAAATATATCCTTTTCACTCTCCCTCCCCCTCCCCTTTCTCTCCCCCCGCCCCCCTCTTGAAGATGAGGGGAGGAGAGCACTTAAATTGCAAGGAGAACGCAAACACATGTCACAAGAAAACCTTCGTCGCAAGCACATTGTGTCTATCTCCCCCTCAAATCCGAGGCTCATAGAGGATTGAGATTTGGAAGAAGATGAAAAATTAAGGATGACCGGTGAGCGGTGACGAGGCTTACGGAGGAAAGAAGATCAAGTCATCATGGCATGTTGTCCATATGATAGGATCCGTAACAGAAACAAGGCAACTAAGAAAAGGGAAGAACTGTGGTCTTCAACAACGAAAGCCTTTATAGAAGGAGAGGAGTAGCAAGAGGGCTATACAATATAAACACCCATATGGGTGAGGGATGAAAAGCGCCAATGACTCTCAATTAGCAACTAGGGTTGTGAAACATAGGGTCGTGAAGAAAATAGGGTTTGTAAAAAAAGTAGCAAAGAGACACCCTAGAACCTGGCTCTGATACCAAGTCAAACAAAGTAAGGCAAATTTTTAGATATGCTTAGATATTCTTCTTCAATATGAATTTATTTATAAGGAAGTACAACCCTAAATAAAATGGGAAATAAATCTAAATTACAATAGAAAATAAATCTCGATTATAATAAGACTAGACAAATAGAGGTAAGTAACCAAAAATTCTAACATAATAAGGAACCAAAAAATCCTAACTAAGTATAAGGAATCGCTAACAAGACCCCATATTTAAAGAGATTTTCTATTTAAACCCCGCACTTTTCTTTGTTCACCCCAATACTTAAATCATTAAGCTGTAAGTTTTATTATTGTGTAAAAAGACAAGAAAGGTCATCCAACTTAATAATTCTTCAAATTTCATTCCTTTTTTCCACCTCCACCTTATTATCCCCTACCTTCCCCAACCACAACTTCCTTCCAACTTCTTGTTTACAAACTCACTCACTCACTCTCTCTCTCTCTCTCTCTCTCTCTCTCTCTCTCTCTCAACTCAACAATACCCAAGTGTTGGAATTCCAGTTATAGTTCTTGGAAAGAGGTAAAGCTGTTCTCTTTCTCTAGAAAGTATTAAATTTCGAGTTTGGGGTTCCATTTGTTTGTGTTTTTTTTTAGCTGGGAACAAAGAAAATTGTGGGGTTTAAATAAAAAATCTCTTTTATTTCTTATTTTTTCAGTTTGGGGTGTATTTAAGGGTAGTTTGGGAAGATAGTGGGGTTTTCTTAGAAATTGTGAAAATTTAAATTAAAAGATGAGGTGAACTAAGAGAAATGTGGGGTTTAAATAGAAAATCTCTATTTAAAAGTCAGTTAGAAGTTAGGATCATATCCACAAGTGATTTTAAATTGTTTCCCTCCAACAATAACTGCCAAAATCCAATTTAACTTTCAAGACTTTAACCATTTGTGAGGTCCCAATGACTGAAGTCAAACTTCCCATTTCCCTTCCAAAAAACCACAAGGGCCATCACCATTTCTGCAAATCTCATGAAAACCTCAATGAGCTATCATATGACTCTTTTTCATTTCCTCCTTCTTGGATTGGTTTTAGGCTTCACCAATTCCATAGCCAGTAGCCATGAAACCTCACATAGAAAACTGGGTAATGTTCCATGTCCTTTGAATATCAATGCTCTCCAAAAACTCATCAGGCAGAACTCTCTACCATTCCCCAAGCAGGATATTGCAACTGAGTGCCAGTACATGGTGCAAGGAATGCGTCTGATTCGATCAGAATATCTTCGAACCAGTGGATTGTTTTCCCTGTCTCCGGATGTCTTGGATGTTTGCTGGGATTCATATGAGAATCTAGTCAATGAATTCATACCAGGGTTTGACATCAAATCCACCTGTGGCTTGAAGACCAGTTTCATTTCACAGACTTGTATGAACATCACAACAAGGTCTGATTTTGAGAGCTTGGTTTCAGCACAGGAGTTGCAGCAAATGAAGGGTTCTTGTGATCAGTCTTTGAAGAATAATTCTGTTTGTAATTCCTGCGTGGAACGCTTGTCGACTGTTCGTGCCTCTTATTTCAAAGCCCCTAATGATGGGAACGTTTCAGATTCCAAAGGGTACCCATTTATATATGCTGCAGCTTTTGCTAACAGGTTTGGACCAATTGATATAGGGACTGCCAAGTGTTTATTTCTGCTTGATTTCTCTTCATCTAGTACAAAGCCTAAAAACTCCAATGCAGTGATGTGGGGTATCGTGACGGGTTGTTTCCATGGCTTTGTTGGGGCAGTTATAGTGCTTTGGTTTCTTTGGATATGGCACAAGAAATGGAAGAGGAAGAAAAATGAGAATTTGGCTCAAATCGAACAATTTTCGAGTGTGGAGCTGGAATCCTGTGGTAGAAATTCTTCTTCATTAAAGCTCAGCTTCGAGGAAATTCGAAAGGCTACAGGGAATTTCTCAAGGGAGAACATAATTGGTATGGGGGGATTTGGGAATGTTTATAAGGGGATATTAGCAGATGGGTCAGAAGTTGCATTGAAAAGGTTCAAGAACTGCTCTGCTGTTGGAGACCAACTTTTTGCACATGAAGTGGAGGTTATTTCCAGTGTAAGGCATGTGAATCTTGTGGCTCTGAGAGGCTATTGTATTTCAACATTGCCTAGAGAAGGCCACCAGAGAATACTAGCTTGTGATTTGATGAGAAACGGAAGCCTCTACGACCATCTTTTTCAACCAGAATTCAAGAAGCTTAGTTGGTCGATTCGCCAAAAGATTGCGCTTGGAATGGCTCGCGGATTGGCTTATTTACACCATGGGGTGCAGCCTGCTATCATTCATAGAGACATTAAAGCAAGCAATGTACTTCTG